CCCCCCCCCCCCCAAAAAAAAAATCAGTTCTTCACAGTGATCGGTCGTCAACTAGACGGCCTTATTGACAATACTAACTTACTTGTTCTTGGTACGGCTGCGATCATGCCTGATCTAGCCGGCCTCGATGATGCCACTAACTGTACCTCTCCACGCGTGACGATCCGCGGCAGCAGATCTGGACAGCTCAACCCATTCCATTCGCCAACTACTTAGACCGAATACCGAAGGTCCATGAACCACCTCCATGTCTTGACGAACTGTGTCGAGCCAGGTTTTGGGCTGACCCCCTCTTCGACGCCTCCCATGGGGCAACGGTGCCGGATCGAGGTGGACGACGAAGAACATGCCCGAACCATCTCAGTCGGCTTTTTTGGATGACCTGAGTTACCCTTGCGATGTTGTCGCAGCGAGCGCGGACTGTCTCATTTAAGACGAAGTCGGTGAACTTCACTCGAAGGATGGTCCTCAAGCAGTGGTGGTCAAATACCTCCAGTTTTCGCTCGTCCTCCTTGCGCAAAGACCAGCATTCACAACCGCAGACAAGGACAGACTGGACAGATGCACGGTACACGCGCATCTTAGTGGCAATGGAGAGGTCACGTCGTATCCATAGGCATTTCCGAAGGCTTGAGAAAACTCATCGATTCAGGAGACAATGTCGTCCTTACCCTGTCCATTAGGCAGCAGCCTCGCCTCGATGTATTTAAAACTGTCTACTTCTTCAAGTTGACAGCCATCAATCCCCAGGGGTGCCTTCTCCTGGTCAGGGATGCAGCTTGAAAACACTTTGGTCTTCCCAGCGTTTATGGATAAACCGGCCGATTTAGCGACCTCGTTCACCCGTGACACCATAGACTGCAGATCACCAAAACTTGAGGCAAGTAAGGCGATATCATCGGCATAGTCGAGATCAGTCAGTCGATGCCCGGGTGCAAACTCAACGCCGTCGCTCTCGCGTAGGGCCCTCCCGAGAATCCAGTCAATAGCATAGTTGAACAGAATGGGTGACAGGATACAACCCTGTCGAACGCCAGACCGAATACCGAACGGTTGGGAAAGATTGTTGCGAACCAAGACTCTCGCAGTAGTGCAGCGATAATAGGCCTTGATCGTGGCTAGGATTTTTGCCGGTACACCATCTAGCGCCATTATCCGCCACGGGTACTCACGATGAACGGGATCGAACGCGGCCGAAAAGTCAATGAAGCAGACGGCCGTCGGCTGTTGGTAGCCATGGCGAAATTCTAGAATGCGCCTCAGTGAAAATATCTGGTCTGCGCATTCACGTCCAGCACGAAATCCGGCGTGGTTGGGCCTCGTCCTTGAGTCACGCACAGCCTGGAATCGCCTGAGTAGGACAATAGCGAAGATCTTCGCAGCAACGTTGATGAGACTTATGGAGCCTTAGTTCTCGCATCTCGTCTTATATTCCTTCTTGAGGATAGGTACAAGGTTGCCTAAGCCCCAGTCACCAGTAACAACCTCGTCTCTCCGGGTGCCTTATTGCTGCGTAATATTCGTATGGCGTCGACGACTTCTCCTTCAAAGGGGGGGGGTCGCATGACATCGTATAGGTGGGAGAGGAAAGAAACTCCGCTGAAGAGGAGAGCAAGGGCAAGATAGGTTGGGTATCAAAGTTGCGATGGTGCTCACGCCAGCGCGGCGGCAAAGTCAATGACAGTCAGCTTTTAGGAAAAGTGCCAGAGGCTGAGGGGTGCCTGGGGATGAAAAAGGAGGAGTCAGGTTACTTAAATTGACTTCCCACCCTTCCCGCATATGTCCACCAAACAAAGCTTGAATTAGCTAGCACTAGTGCGTCGCACCCAGATGGTCTTGTTACACTGACGAAGTGAAGAATCCTTCGCGCAGTGGATGCTGTTAACGACGACTGCAAATCATTCTATCAGTAAAGTCCTCTCTTGTTGGCCGCTCTGCGTCATTTTTCGAATGTAGTTTGAACTCTGCCTAACAACCACCTTCCTGACTTATTCTACCTGTTTCTTTTTTCTTCTGTCCACCCTCTTCAGTTAAGAGTCACTCGCCAGGGCGACCTTTCGGAGGCCTGGGTGAAGCGTCTTATGTACGAGGACCGTGATGATTGTAGCAACGCCTCCTACGTGGAATACCTCTGTCACATTCACAAGGAGGTCCGGTCACTGTTGAAGTAACTCATGGCTTCCACCTTACCTGCCACCGCCAACTCCACCTACAAATCATGAAAGAGACCACTGTCCCCTTTCTGCTGCTTCCCCTCAACCCACCCGTAAACCTTGGCGCTTTCTAAGGCATCACAGCGACGATTTTAACCCCCGGCTTGTGGTGCCCTCTGAGCGCCTTTTGGCTTCCTCGACACACTGCATACGCATTCGCCTCACCTGTTTCCTGCATGCGGTACTCTGTCCCCCCCCCCCT